TTCTTGGAATGATTAATGAAAAAATATCTGAAGTTAACTCAGCTACTAAATAATATTGTCTCTTTAATGATGAAATGAGTTTTAACTTAAATATACTAAAAGAAGTTTATTTTGTTTAATAGCACATAACACCTTTTTAATATTTTCCAAGTTAATTTTCCATTCTTTTCTGATAACGTATAAAATTTAAAAAATGTGCGCTGTATACATAGATGTTGAAATTTATGCGCCTTGTAACTGGTACTTTCTATTGTTAATTAAGGATTTACTTTGGTAACGTATAAATTACGTGATGTTAAATATGGAGTGGTTTCATTTATAAGTAGCAAGTTTTATTAAAATGGAGCAAATACTCATATCATGACGAGTAAACTGAAAAAGTGTAAAAGATTAAAAATTGTGAGGAAGTTGCTGAATTTGTTTAAGAGGCAATTTCTTTTGATGTCAGTAAATTATAGATATTAAAATTCCGGAAAGTAATTTTATACTCAATGTTTTGAAATGCAATTAAACATTTTGTACTCATGTTATTTTATCCAAACGTATGTAGAATTGTAAAAAACTTTGCTGATATAAATCCATTAACAATTAAATTATTTTACGTGACCTTTAAAGGGTGTTCTGAAATTAGCCTGCGATATAATACATACGCATTCTACCAGTAAAGCGAACAGAAAAATTTATATGGATTTAGCGGAGAAATTACTATACTGCTCTACTAAAACTCTAAGTCCTATTTACAAAATATTTGATTTTTGCTTCACTAGACTTCAAATTTAGTACGTGTATAGTGTATACAACATATATATAAGTCCAGTGTAATATAAAGGACTAAGAATAAGATATTTTGCAGATAAGACCTTTTGTTTTAGGAGGACAATATAGAGATCCTTCAAGATATCCTTCCAGATATCTCCGACACAGTTCCGGATAAAACAATAAAGTTTGGAACTGACAATCAGCGTTATTGTTATAATGCTAATGTAATGGTAAATGAGAGATTCGGAGATTGTTGATAAATATTACTTCAACCTTTTCATATAGGACATTTTCGTTATTATGAGACGAAAATTAGAGAAATATTAATTCAGTTGATTTATAGCAGTTTTCTGTCGAGAATTTTAGAAAATCTATGCAAATTAGAAACAATACCTCTTCATTGTACTAGTTATACAAGTTTTCTTTAGGATACAAACTGACAACATATTCAGAATAAGAAAAACAGCATATTTTTACCTCTTTTCTCTCTATCGTTTTTCTCTTTATCGTTACGTTTTCTGATTTTACACTCCTTTTGAACATACATAAAATCGCATACGGCACTATAAACTTAATAACACCCCGCAGAAGACTCTTAAGAAACTCTTAACACATGCATTATTCACAATTGTTGAGTACTTTCTACAAAACTCTCGACAGAATAGGACAAGTACATTTTCCTAAGTCTACGTGGGTGCTCATGTTTTCTATCATGTTTCACTGCGAAAAATTAAAAGAATCCTTGTATTTCAACATTTATATACTTTAGATACTATCAAAGTGGTCACGATTTCCTTGTGTTATTGCTGTCTTTCTAAAAGTCCGATTTTTTATTTATAAAATGCCGGCCTTAAATCAATTTTACTCCCAAATAGTAAAATCTATCAAAGCGATGCAAACGCACCTGTCTTCTGAAAAATTGTTTAAAAAATTTTAATTTTTAGAGTTCATACAGCGGAAATGTACACAAAGAAAGTTAAGTCCATTGAATTGAAATTGCAACAGCTATAACTACCTTCAATTTTCATTGTTTTATCTTCAACGGCCTTGAAGACATTTTGAAAATTCTGGGGTTCAGTTTTAAAGAACTGCATTTCTTTATTTTTTTGCCTTATTTTATATTACGGCCTCTCATTACAATATCAGTTACCTTATGAATGTAGCTATTTACTTCTACGACATATTTTTTTACGACTGCATAACATTTTTTAGTAGTGTTTTAAATACGACTGAAACTGGAGCCCAATTTTTTGAGTTACTAAGAGTTTCAAAGTTCTTCCTAGCTTTGACAGCCACAGTAAATATATCGTCGCGAAGGCTAAACCAGTTCAAGGCCATTATACGTGATCCATTTAAGAAACGGCACATCCACTAACCTTTAAACATGTTAAACTAATTTGGAAGATTATTTCATTTAAGTCTGCATTTTCGTGACAGGCTATTTAATATCATTCATCAAAAAAGGGCAATGAATAGTGAAAATAAATGTAAATTCTCTAGCAAATCGTAAATTTCACAACGCCGATGTAAAGTATTGTTATTAGCCCTTTCAAGTTGTATTTATCGATTTTCATAGTATTGTTGTCTTCGATTTTTGCGATTTCATAGTTTATTACGTGATTAAATGGTCATACAAAGCATGCCGTTTATTTACGTGTACATTAAAATCTAAATAAATAAATTTATATCGTTTCCAAAGAAAAAGATCCTCTAATAAAACCTATCCCTAAAGCTTCTGTAACTATGTTAACTTTTCATTTAACTTCACTAAATTAAATTAACATACCAAATATATTTTTTTCAAATTGTCTATTTTCGGTTATGACAAATTTATTTTATTCATATGCTCACCATTTGTGCCATTACTTTTTTTTTTCAAATATCGACCTAATTGTTGCGGTTATTTATTAAGAATCTTATCAAAGGCTATAATTAGTGAGAATTGAAAATACGTGATGATACTAGATGCCGAAATTTTTTGACAATCATTCTCACTGATTTCGAAACTTCAGTTGAAAACATCGAATAAATGCTGACCCAAAGAAGTATTCAAAGAAAGTCAAGAAGATGAAATGCATACATATATATTAATAATTTTATAACAATAAAACTAAAAACACTAAAATTCTTTTTGTAAGAAAAATATAAAACAAAACAACTAAAAATTTATTCCACAATGTAATAAACCTATACGTAAAAATTAACCAATAGATTCTATCTATTTGGATTTTGTCTGTTGTCTTATACTTTTCATCACAACATACACTAATTTTTAAATATTTTTCTTCGGAACCTTTTAAATAACGAATAAATGTTATTCCTTCGAAATTGTATAAACTTTTTTCTGTCGATGATAGCGAGGCCTTCGAGACAAAATCTCCATACAAGCTACAAAATCTAGAATGCCTATATTCTTAATTTGTCCATGCTTCTGAACAAATATGTGTCCACGCTAGTTGTTTGCTGGCAAACGTTTGTGTTTACACTCTTGTTTGATTAACTTCATATAAAATAAAAAAAGTAGTAACATATTTAAGAGTTTGAGAACAAACAGAAATTTTTATAAACATTGATATTTTCTCCTAAATTTAGAAATAAAAAGTTTTTCATATTCAGGACAGACAGAACCGTGATACACACATAATATGTAAAACTAAGTACCTAAGCAGGTTAATTTGCCGGTAAAGTGTAATCCCCAACGCCTATGAAGTCGTTGTCCAATGTGGGACTCATCCGACATTGGTGCAGGTCACGGAACAGCTTTTATGTGTGTCCTTGAAACTCTTATTTCTGAGTTTATGTTACATGAGTCTAATCTAATGATCTCCACACGTTCTTGGATGATCTCTTAAGCCTAGTACAAATCTACTGTTTTATTACATCTATTTGAAGAAATGCAATTATCGAAAAATTATATTTTTCGAGGATGTTCGAAACTAATAAAAGGCCGTAGTTTATTTCAAGATGCAAAAATAAAACACAGTTGAGGAAGACCTTGTAAATAATATTGACAAGTTCATGAGTTCACGTGACCTATGAATGAAGCATATGATTTTATACTAACCACATAACCACAAAACTATTCGCTGTTTTGCACATACAGTGTAGGAAAGTACCGATGGTCTATTAGAAGTTACGTGAGAGCGATAAAGTAAGCCATAGAAATCCATGTGATAGACAAGGATGGCTATAATGAAGGCGTTTAATAGTCAACGCCCATTTCGCCCTTCCACAAATAAGAACTGGATCTTATTTGTGGAAGGGCGAAATAGGCGTTGACTATTAGACGCCTTCATTATAGCCATCCTTGTCTATCACATGGATTTCTACGGCTTACTTTATCGCTCTCACGTAACTTCTGATAGACCATTGGTACTTTCCTACACTGTATGTTGAACACACGTCAAGTCATGAAGCTGAATAAAATGGACGAATTATTAGCAGCTAGTGCCAGAACGCTGTGGTATTGTATGAAATAAAGTAATCTCTAATTACATGGACCAAACAATACATACGTACAAAATTATAGTCTCACATTATTCGTGTGTCATGTGATTAGCACGTAACGTGGCAGCGTGTCTTGCTGTAACTGTTATATGTTACGTATTTTAAGTGATTTGCTATTTTACATACATCACTATTCGTTCGCAATTCGAATTGTCGATACGTCCTTTATCCCGCAGGACATAGTAAACGTTTTTTTTAATTTCTGATGGCAGATAAATATAATAAAATCAAGAGCGCCGACCTGTTTTCACGTGTCGTAATAAACTAATAGTGTACAATACGGTTACAAAAGATTGTATATGTTAAATTGGATAATGAGTATGTTCCTGTCAGATTTACAATAAAGATGAATTTCGGTAATTTAAATTACCGTTCTTTTTTCTAGTCGTCCACATGACGGTTTCAAATGCTGAAATCCTTCTACTTTGCCTTCTTCAAAAGAGATGTTTTAAAATGTTTAATCCTGTATTACTGTAAACGTAATGTGTAATTAATTTCTGATTACTACTCTTAATAAGACGGATTGATTCAAATTATCTCTTGGTTTCTATATTTAACTAATCTGTGTATTGACGAAATATTTTACAGTCCCTTTTATGTTTCTCTTCTTCTGTAGAATATATATTTTAATTATGGTTTTGAACATTGATCAGTACTGTATAATCGAGTAATTTTTTTTCACTTAAAACGGGTAATAATGATCCGTCAATATGTATTAAAAACGTACAAAGAGAAAATAATATAATTATTTATTTAATAAAAATCAATCTTACAGTTTGTTTGTTGGGCAGCAGCCTATAACATTAGAAAGAAAATCACAATAATGCACAAAACAACAGTTGGTTGTTATTCATACCAAAAATATTACATTTTAATTTATTTTACATACATTGACTACCCTTCCACAAAAATATCCCTATCCCCTTGCCAGTTTAAAAACTATCTAGCTGTTAAATGATGCACAACACTGACAGATTCGTAAGATGCGTAAAATAAACAAAATGTCCAAAATGAGAATGGTTTGAAAACAAAAATACAAATATGAGTAAATGACGCTATCGTTTTATAAATTACGTTTAAATAGTTTAAGAACTTTTAACTTCTAATTGAATAAAAATAGACCTAGGCAAATACGCATGATAAAATTAAAGATATATTTTTATTAATATAAATTTATGCTTAATAACCGCGTTGATTCCACTACTTATAACAGCATAAACTTATTTTGGACACAGTGTATATGTATATACATTAATATCTCCCATTGCAAACTTATATCCTACGTGCTATAATCCATAATTCAATTTATATGTCAACCTAATGAACTTGAATTAAACTACCGTTATGGTAGTAATTCAATATATAAGGAAGCATTGAACTTTAATATTTAACAGAATTATGAAAAATCCGAGCTGTTTCACTTCAAGTGATCAGTGGATTTAAAATTCTATATTTATGTGTTCAACAATAAAGGACAGTATAAAACTGAATATAAACAAAAATGCATGTGGGTACTCGCACAATATTTGTTTTTTTTATGTGTTCTTTAGTTTAGAAATGAAATCGGCTATAAAAGAACTTATACAATGGCCTTGAATAAACAAGTTTAATTAGTAAAGTAGTATTTTCAGTTTTTTTTTTCGATTATTAACTAATATTTCTGATTAAAATGAAATATGTGGTCTGATGTCATAGCAAAAATAGTTTAATTTGAAAAACCTAAACACTAAATAATCTTCTTTATGACGTACGGGAAAGTTGGCTAACTTGAATTACTGAATTTTGTTCACCCTTGCACTATCTAAAAAAATTAAGCAATAACGAAGATGAATGCATTATTTGGAGTAGTTTTCCTTCGTTATTCTTGTTTGTTTATTGTGATCATTTGAGAGGAAACGGCTCGTTTACATTTGCGAAACACTTTTCTACTGGCGAGATAGTGTCAATCAAATATCACTTTAAAAAATTGCAACAAGAAGCCTGCTGCTAATTTTATACGCTGAAAATAAGCTTTAATGTAATTAACAGATACGTAGTGCTAGATCGATATTTATTCGTTCCTCTTTGCTGCGGTATTGCTATTAACATAATCACTATTTCTATTAGATTAAATTTAAATCATTTATTGCATAGGAGTTGTAACGTATTAAGTTTGATATATTATATTCATATTAATTGACAATGAAGTAATTTCGGCGTAAAATAATGACTTTCATAAATAGCATGTTACGAAATAAAGTAACAGTAAATTAAACTCTTTTATGTTTTAGAAATTCTGACGCGAAAGTAATAAAGCATTCAGTTCCCGTTTTCGACACTGCACGAGAAAATATTTGCTAAACTGTTAAATATCCGCGATAATTTAAAACGCGTGGTGGATTATAAATACACGTAGAACCATTAATCCTTTCGTTATTAATGGCATTTTTTATACAAATAACTATTCATTTGTAACGCTATTTTGCTTGGAACCGATTGCAAAAATAAAAAGCTTTTAAAAAGAGAAATAAGTGGTACTTCAGATTTATTTAATGTAACGTTTACAAGAAAAATATTTAGATTTGTGTTTACATTTCTTATAAAAATAAACGGCGATTGTTTTTGTTTGATTCGTTTAATAGGATAGCAATTTATACAATATACGTTTGAGTACCAATCTCTTTTTCAAAAATATTGGAACAGATAAAACTTATCTATATTCATTTGAAAATGAACCTGTTCGTTTAAAATTGAAAAAAAAAATCTGAAAGATGATTGGTTTTATAGCCGTCTTCGTCTGCTGTGGTATCGCTGGTAGCGAGTTATAAAATAGATAAAATCACTTTATGCACTACATGTTTGCAATTATTTCAAAGTTCTATTTGAACTATTTAATCAATTCTAATTTATTTATTTCTATACAAGTAAAGGTGCAAAAGAGCAACCAATATTAAAAATTCTAATTTACGTAAATGACGTTCACGGTATGCTTGGAAGTTTGTTTAGAAAACATTTTCATTCAACTCCAAAAGTCTTTGACAACAGTGTAGAAAATGATTATCTATGAATTGAAATGAAATAATTTGACATATCATTAGAAGACGAATGAAGGATCTGATTTATACATCAAGTTTTTTTTTTGATAAATAAAGACAAAACTAGTTGCTAAACTTTAGTTGCAATTTTTTTATTACTAAACTAATCATAATTCACATACCCCGCCTGTTATCAAATGAAGTGTAGCAACGATATAGGATGTGAGAATACAATTTATAGTTCTACAGTCTTTTAACATTTAGAATGACTAGGATCTACATCAATCTTCCATTTTTTTTTATAACTAATTCATTTACACTTTCTCATAATAAAAATGAAGTAGCACTTCAAATAAAGTCTTTTTGGCATTTGTTTTAGTTGAGTTGAGAAAAAAAAAATCAATTTATTACTTCTTGTCGCTGCTAAATTGGCACTAGTGGAGCAGATCCTACACCGTGACAGCATACTCACATTATCACAGCAGTTTCATATTAAAAAATTTACAGTGAAGTCTCGTGGTTTATTTCCACTTTTGTCGGCTCTGGAAGATTTGGCGAGGTTGCACTGGGCTGGATTTCCACCACGCTTGATTCTCTTCTTTCCATCTGCAAGAGGTCGTCGGTGCTACGCGCCGATTTGGTGCTCTCTGCCGGCCAATCCATGTAGAGCATGGTATGTTTCGAAGTCGATGGTCCCTCGAGCATCAGCATCCTTGGTGTGTCCTCGATGTAGTTGATGTGGATGCCAGCCAAGGGATCCGTACTTGGTTTCTGGTCGGTCAAGGACCTTTCCGACGGAGTGTAGTACAAGGACAGCTTGCTCTGGGTGACGTCGGTACTCGTATCCAGATTAGCTAGATTTTCAATCTTGGACTTGATGTAGCAATCGATGCTCTCGATGTCGTGGGGATCGAACACGAGGGATTCAGCTCTTCCGCACGTGCCAGCTCGACAGTTCTCGAAGTACAGACTCGGCAGGTTTTCTAGCACTTTATTCAGAGTCTGTTGCTGATATTTGTAAGTCTCTCTTAGCTGCAACACCTTGTGGGCACTGAATTTCCTTATTTTGTTGCGTTGGAAAACGTAGTTCTCGCGCACCCAATTCAATTGCGTCGTGGAGTAGTCGCGCACTTTTTTCACCTGGAAAAAATATTCCGCGTTACAATTCCCGTCCCACTAAATTAAATTGGGGTTAGCATATTTTAAATTTAGGAAAAGAAATTACCTGATCACAATATTGTCCTCTTAGAGTGGTCAAGTGCTGCGTCCCTATGTCTCTAAAATCTTTAAGATGTTTCGCCTGGGACTGGTAACTGTTTTGTATCCATTCCATTTGTTGGGCACAATTGTCCCTTATCCTGTGCACCTAAGAAAAAAAGTCAGTTTTTATGTGTTTTGGTCGTAATGTTTCTAAATAAGTTAATTTATTGTTACAATGAAATATCGTTCTGTTGCAAAACAGAGTACTGAGTGAAATTTAATATCAAGGATAGTTGAAAAGTGTGTCTAAAAGCTAGTTCCAACGTTTTAATGAATTTCGGATGCTTATTATATTCTTTGAATTTATAAATTGTTTATAATCTTTCCACAATAAAGTGCAAAATATTCAGGCAGATAAATACAAAAATCTGTTGAATTCCACGACTTCATTTGGATTATTACAACAATGCGATACGTCCGTCATAGCTACGGGTCGCCATCATTTAATTGATCGAATTTTGTAAAATTATGCCTCCAGCAAAGTATAATGCAGCCTTTCGTATTATATAATGGGTCACCGAGCATGTACACTTTGGCAAATGTCACGACTATCTTTGGCATTTGAACTTTACCTGTTGCGTGTAATTCTCTCTCAGCTTTTCCAACTGCTGGCTCTTGTACTGTTCGATGTTATCCAGCATGGCGTAAATCTGGCGAGCCCTAGGCGAGACGCGATCTCGCTTACAAAAACTGCAAAAGTTGTTCAGCAATCCAAATCTGAAAATAGAAATAGTCCATTTATAAATATTCGTATTATATCTATATTCACTTGGTCGTTAAAAAATCATGCGTCTTATTTTATGAATCATTGTTAGAGATTTAGAATATCATTTAAGTTTTTAGAAAATTTCTTAAGAGTAGCATTTCATTGACATATATCATACACCCCATTAAAAGCATAATCTCAAGTTTGTGTGCAGTGATATGATTGGTGAGAGAATACAAAAATACTCTTCAATTTATAGAAATAGAATTTACATTGGCTAAAATGCAACGAGAACTTACTTGTTAAATATGTAACGGAGGAACTGTACAAAAAGCGTCAGTCCTAAGAAGCCAGCTGCACTCTGCGTGCCCACAATGAGACTAATGATCCTGATTTGATTCCAGTCCGTGGGATCTATATGAAGCAGAACGTTTTCCGTCAGGTTGGCAATGGGATTGCTGGCGTAACACGTGTACCTGCCACAGTCCGCCCTCGTCACGTTTTTAACCCATAACGTTCCGTTGTCCAGAACCTGGATCCGTGGTGGAATTACCCTCATAGGAGTCATATTTTCGTCGTGGGCCAATGGGTGCTTGTTAAAAATATCGGGAATGCTGAGGTCCGGGTTCCAGTGGAACACCTCTCGTCTAGGCGTCACCCACGTTATGGAAGGTGGTGGATTGGCGGCGTATCTGCACTCTAGCAAAGCATCGGATTTTAGCCGGTAGAGCTTTGTAGGCGTTTTGTACACTATTCTAGGTTTAGTACAATTCAAATGTTGTAACGTGGGCAACATATCCCCAGGGTAGGCATCGGGACCACAACTCAACTGTGACATCGTCAGATTGGAGTGTTTCTTGCTCTCGGCCCACGAAGCGAACCAGAACATACGACAATCGCATGCCCATGGATTATCGGATATATTCAGTTTTTTTAAATGTGTTAAATTGGCAATGGATTGAGGTAGGAAAGATAGAGCATTTCCGCTGATGTCCAGCTCCCTCAAAGCTGGCGTGTCGGCAAGAACGTAGGTTTCGATCTCCTTAAGCAGTCTGTTTCTTCTGATGTTAAGAACCTCCAGGTTAGGTACTCCAAGAAGTTCGGTGTTGTGGATTACTTCGATCGTGGTGTTGTCTAGAGTTAAAGAGATCAGCGACGGGCTGAAATGCAGTAAACCGAAAGACAGATGTGTGAGTCTATTTCCGCTCAGATTCAACACCCTCAAATTATTTAGACCCCTGAAGGTTCCGCTAGCCATATTAATCAAAGGATTGTTGGCTAGGTTTAAGTACTGCAGATTAGTCAAAGAGTCAAACAAACCCTTCGCGAGAAAGCGTAACGAATTGAAAGACAAATCAAGATTTTCGAGATCAGTTAAATCTGCGAGGGCGTTCGAGGTGAGTTTCGTAACATTGTTGTTGTTGAGTAACAAAACTTCGATGTTTTTGTTGAATTTAAAGAAATGGTCTAAGAACGTTACCAAAAAATTGTGTGATAGGTCTAGTTCGTATAAGTAGCCCATGGGGGCGAACACTTGGAACGGTATGGCTTTCAGGGAGTTGTGTCCCAAGCATAATTTTCGTAAATTCTGATTATTATTGAAAACATCCCTTGGAAGATCGTTGATTGCATTATAAGACATATTCAGTAGAGTTAGATTGGTGTAATTGTGGAACTGACGGTCTTGTAGAACAGTTACGTTGTTAAAGGAAAAATCTACCGTCCTCAGTGACTGTGGGTTAGCGATGGCTTCATTGATGTCGGAAATGCCACTGCGGATCCACCGCAAGTGATGAACATTTTTTACGTCTAAAGGTCCACCTCGTACGTTTTCTAATTCGAGGTGTGAGACTCCGACCGGTAACGATAGATCTGCAGATCTGTTGGAACAGTGTAGAACGTTGTTTTTGAGATAGTCGCATCCAGAGGGAGCTCTTTGTGATATGACCCCATCTCCGTGCCTGGTATGTGCCGAAGCTGCGACGAACAACACGAGCAGCACAGTCCATCTTACATTACCGGCGATTATTAGCCGGTGATAGTCCCCCATATTTTTTTAATAAGCATTGTCCCGTCCACCGTCACCTACCTAATTGATGACATAATTGCAGATATAATAGTTAATTAAAAAATCACATGCCTATAAGTGTGTATTGTGTCAATCATAATTATAACTAGTTAATACTCAACGTTTTTGATAAATGCATAGTCAATAAATTCAATTATCAAATGTTTTGAATCTATTACTATATTTTGCATCTCCATAAAAAAATATATATATTTTAATATCAAGTGAAAATACCGAAAATTTGACATACGACATTCAAGAAAGAAATTAACGTCTTTTTCCAGTCTACTCTCAATTATTAAAATCAAATTGATATTGTATGTCAGTAGGGGTTTTAAATTATTAATATCGAGCAGAGATCTGTAACTAATCATTACTGCACTTAAACAAATAATGTTACCAAATATTTCTTATGATTTTCATAATTTACAACAAATTCAGAACTCTAATTTCTATCGTTATTATTGTGTTCACCTCCATATTAATAAATTTACAAAACATTTGTTTTCATAATTTAATATTGAATCTTTTTTCTCTACTTTACAAATTAAAGTAAACTGTTCGAATACCCACATTTTGTCTAGCAGAAATGAAAAGACCTTGAAATTATTTAACAAACGTAAAATTTAATTTACTTTACTAAAATGCATTCACTTCATACATTATCGATTAAACGGTGTAAATGAAATGCTGTAGGCTTGTAGGTAACAGATTATTCGCAGTTGGAATGGAAAATTCATTTTTTGAGTAATAAATATTCACGCTAATATGAACACTACTAAATATTTCTTTGACTTGAATCCAGGATCGTTCGAATATTTGTAATGTGTAGATAATGTTGTACCGAATACTATGATACTTGGTTTATTACGTATTTTTCTCGGTATTTTTAAACGTTCTTTATCTATATAGCTTTAGATAATGTCATTATTAAAACTCATGCCAATGTTGATATAAAAAAGTGTACACTACATACCTACTTAACTCTGTTTAATAATTTTTAATAAATTACTGTTTACAAAATTATATCTTCAAGAATTGTGGAATTGCTACTAGTGTTCAGCAATTTTCATACATTTATTGATTAGCTATTAAAAAAATTGTTTTGAGTTTTTGTTAAAAAGAAATTGTTTAGTGCGATATTATATATTTTAATGATCTTTATCTGGAGATAGACTTAACGTGTCAATATTTTTTATATAGGGCTGTAAACTTCATACAAAGCTGATAAGTTCCGTAGCTAAACTTATTCTGCAATTTTCATTAAGAAATAATATTTATGTAAGTGCTTTCTGGCCTTGGATAGGTATCCACTCATTAATAGTGATTTAAATAGACTGATAAGTAAATTCAAAACACTAATTACACAGTTACCAAAAAAACGTATAAGAAATATTTAGATATATAGGTATCTCGAAAACAATGTATAAAAAAATCTAAATGGTATACTTTTTAATATGGGTCGAGATCCAGATATTTATTCGCTTGTAAATCATGGACAATTTCTTACAAAAAGTGGAACTGCATAAATCATTATTACTAACAAGACTAAAGACTATCATTTCTATATATTGATTAAAATTGGGATATTTTGGAGACCACGTCTATTGGCTTCAGTTTAATAATTTTAATCCAATGCGGGTGCTTTTTTAACCACAAAACACTTATCGATTTTCTATTATATCAAGCTATATAGTTATTTTGTATTTTCATTGAAATTTTACGTCAAATGTATTTTACAAACTTTTTAGCAAACGTCAAATGTAGTGGTTAATTATCCTGGTTTACGAAAAGTGTCAAAAAAACAAAACTAATAATCAGTAGTTAGGTACTGTCAAATTAGTGCAGTTAAGTTTAGGTCAAGGTGAGCAATTTTTTAAATACTTTTAGCATTGTTCCAAGTCATATCGAAAATGTACCTATTTTATTTTAGCGACTTCTTAAGTGGTTTCCGATAGTTCCTGATAATAAATTCTCTATGGTAGCTATAGCTATAGGTAGAATCTTAACAGTTTGAATAACTACGTTCTAGACTAGTTTTCATGCAGTTAATTTAATAACATAATACCTACAGGTACAGATTTAATGCCATTAGTCAAGGCCTCCAACTTCGTAAAAGGTTAAAATTTAATTATTACCTACACATTTACAATATATTTTTGTCGCCCATATTTTACATGAGCTTGTGATTGGAAAAATGTATAATAGTAATGTTTGATCTATTATTTTAATAAATGCCTCCAATATTTATAATTTCCGCTATTAACCGTACCGTTAAGTAAAATTAATTTAAATTCTTTGAAAGAAGGCAAAATGTGATGTAACCTATTTGCTATTTACTTAGTAAACTACATAGATAGGTACATATTTAATCTAATTATTAGGTACTGTTATTAGGTACCTAACTACAGTAGATTTTAATGTTAAGAAGTACCTACTACCTAATTATATCTACTAATAGTTTTTATTTACATATGTACAACTTTTTAAGAAGGAAAATGTTGATTTATTTCTTGTTACATATTTTCCTACATTTCCAGAATTTAATAATGATTTGATGTAGGTATGAACATTGTACGATTTATTAATTATAAATCAAATTGAACTTATTCAAGCTTTTTGCCGATCTAGCTTACAGATTTCAATACAAAAATTGTATTTCTTTCGGTCACGAACGTTCTATAGCGATCGTTATCATTAAGTTTAAGAAAATGCATCATTGACTCATATTTTGTGACACTTGCCAAATACTACGTTAATTTTTCTCTTGTCAGTAGAAAAATTTATATTCGGACAGGTGGTGTTCCGCCGTTAAGTTTTAACATTTTGTTTAAGCATCGTACGAAACATTCATAAATTATTAACTCGGCGATACTAACCAGCCATCACTTGTGCTACATAAATGCAAATAAAAACACTTTCTTTTCCGCACGGTAATTTTATTGATTCCTTGGCCACGTGTACGACACTGATCTGACACAACGGGATTTTCACAAATTTGCTAATACACTCGTCTTTTTCTCGGGTTTATTCACTGGTTAACGACATACTACTCGTCCTTATGAAAACAAGCAAGCGACGGGACGGACGCCTACTTCGTCGAACAGTCGCAAATCGTGCTCCAGCTGTTTCGTTCTGACTCGAAACGAGTGGGGAAAAGCTAGGACGAGTCCATTTAGTAGCACCACCGGGGTGTGGCCGCTACTCGGGTGTCGTCAAGCCACGAATTCAAGTTCTTGGAAAACTAAATCCTAAACCTAAAGAACGTTCATATTTCTCATTTACATCTAAATATTAATTTTCATTTCATATGTTTCAAATAAACCTAGAATAGGACAATGAATGCAACCAACACTGGTAGTACAAAATGATGAAAGCTTAAGATAGGGCCCTACGCATCTAAAAAGTAATCGATTATAGGTAGGTTTCCTTTTCGTCGTACCCATATTGTCTCTGAAGGGCGATTTATTTGTTCCGTGGAAGGTTTTATAGGATTATTTTATTTTAGGACTAAGGTCACAGAATCAATAACGTTTACATACTTACCTAGTAGTATACGTAGGTAGTTAGTTTAGATTTTTTCTGACAGTAATACTTAAGTAGATACCTACCTATTTTCTATTTTATACGTTCCTAGTTAGGTTATTCAGTAACACAGTAACAGACATTTTAAATTTTATTAGTAATACCTTTCAATGATTTTATTGCTACGGAACATTTTAGAAGCTACAATAGGTACATATCTACCTATGTAATGTATCATAACAACAAGACATTTGAGGAGTGAAATAGGTACTTAGTAGATACCTAGATAGCTAGAAAACCTAGATTTAACCTACCTAACTTATGTTTGACAATTTTGTTGTTTTTGAAAACACGGAAAAAGGAATGATTGTTCGTCTATAGTGCCTATAATAACCTGTAGATATGAAATATGAACACTCTCCTCCAATATTCCAAACGTTCCCGGAGCGAACTCGACACATATCGAACAGCTTTTACTCAATGAATAATTCAAACCATTGATAGTTTTGGCGAATATTTGCCAAACGAAGGCACGTTTTCGTATATATTGATATGCATCATCCACACGATACGACATTTGGCAAATATGTGTACTCCAGCAAAACTCCACACGTTCTCATTCTCGACCATTCAGTCGGCTTTACTTCTATACTGTACTACATTCGGCAAGTGACCGCATCTTCAGACACCGGCTAAGAAAAATATGTAAAAGTAAATATGCACCAGACCTACCAATGAATATTTACTAGTTACTTAACATCTCTAGAATGCGATGTACGAGTCGGATCAAACATTTTCACCTGAAGATCTAATTTATTTTGTGAGCAAAACCACGAAAACATCATCTGTAAGGCCAGATTATACTTTATCTAAGACTTGGGCTACAAGTACACTGCCGGTCCTGATTTTAGACTATTGCTTCTCTGTCTTGTCCGTTCATACATCACTTTTAAACCGACCTTCTATAAAAGTTACGTGTTTATTGCACACATGCATAATATGCAGCATATATGAAAGAACGTGTCTTACAATAGCTTTGAAAGGTATAAGTGTACATCCACCGGACGTGTTAATTTTTAAAACGACAAAGTACAACTTGGCGATTGTTATGTTTGCTCGTTATATACTTACGACGTTCATGTCAGAGTTTGGCAGTGTAATATTAAAATTTTATTAAACCCGTTGAAGCTTACTCTTCTATTTACTTCTGTTTACTCTAAAATCTAGTTACCTGATTAAAAAAAACATTCTATTAAAATCAGCGACCAAAGAACAATAAATTCAAAGTCCTATAAGGTCCCCAATAAATAGAGTAATTACAGTGCGCATGATATATTTGTTGAGATAGAATTCCAAGAAGACCCATGCGTAACTTTCTTAGAATTAACCGCATTCGACATCCAAGATAGAAAGACAAGAAATATAACCAAAAGAGAGTGCTACAAAAGTAAAAAGTAGTAGGTAGTCAAACTATAGTAGGATCGTATACGATGCAAAGTAGAGCAAAAAATTGTCGGCCTTTTATCAAAGGAAAATCGTGTCATCATTTTTAGGAGGCGTAAGATAAATCATTTCAAATTTAAAATGAAATTCAATGTAAAATCTGAAATACCGCTGCATACGCACTGTGTTCTGATAGTAGCTGTAGTCGCCCAGGTGCATCGAGTGTACGAACTGGTCGGTTATACGTCAAATACTAACCTGGCGAGCTTTGCTGTCAATTAGAGAGTGCTTCCAAAAAACAAGTAAACAACAGTGGCGCGTACAGAGGTAAAATGTAGTACATATGTGGAATTTAGGAAACAAATTGGATTTATAATAAATTACATTTAAAATAAATAGTTTATGAGAATAAAGGTATTTTTGTAGCAACAAGGGTGCCAGACCTGAACTGATCCCCTCGACCCTTCATAATGTATAAAGAAATTATTCAATTTGTAAAACCCTTAAAGGCGTACTTCATTGGTTCCCTTGACAGGCAATGATTTATTACTTTTCATCGAAAATGATCGTACTATAAGTACTCATAATCTTTGTCGCAAGTTGAACTTGTAATATTATCATTTTGACCATATCTATTTTACTGTTAAAGACAGAGCCATCAAACTTTGTACCACTGTAATTGTAAGATTCTATCCAAATGTACAAAAATATGTTGGCCTTATTTCTCTGTAACTCGATTCTTAATACTTGTTTTCATAATTTACGTATTAGAAAATGTTAAAAGATTGCAGTATTTTCCTATGGAAGAAATACAATGACACTTACAGTAGATCACCCTGTACTCGATTTCCATTTAAAATAAAAAAAAGTATATTGGCGCCCAACTAAACAAAGTGACATATAAATAAGAAATATCAAGTTTTCTGATTTGCTTGGTTACAGCGTTAAAGGCCGTCCACAGGTTGTTACCTTCACCCTGTATGTGATTTGCACAAAGTTATGTGCAGTCCAGAGAGTCGTATGTTGAAATTTCCCCCAAATGAAAAATGGTTATCTAGTCCGCAATTTAAAACTCGATAATTTTTATTACAATTGGAAATGCGCGCTTAAAATGAAATTCGCGTGATCTGTCCCACTTAATTAAAATAGCTCGCTGTGCTGCCATTAATAAATAAAACAATTGTTATTAAGACATTCCCATTTACCAGTCATTTTATTTTTAAGTAATAAAATGTTTACAAAATTATTTAGCGAGTGCGTTTATTTGCTTTCTCGTTATCGATTCGTTTTATTTCGGGATGGGTGAAATGTTTGTTTTTTTAAGGTAGCCTGCGATTTTGTGAAATTGTGCCATTTTAAAACTTTACGTCAGGCGCTGGCGAAATTTCATTCGCGATATAAATGCGTGTCCCAGAGGCGTGTTTCACTGAATAAACAATGAATAAATTGAAAAACTAACGTGAATAAAAGTACACTAATAGCGGGACTGATAATAGAGAAATTGCACAAGAATAATATTAATAATATAAATGATAATAATATGAAGAATTGCAGACCTTTCTTATTTAAACATCCTGTACATCTCACTGGATCTGTGATGGGAATAGTTTGCTATTTGTATAGCTGTTGACATTATACTGAGTGTGTGATATTGGTGGGTTCTGGAATGACTTTACAGTTATGAACAAAAAAAAGGTTCCCGACCTAAAACGTTTAGAGGGATCCAAAGCATGAAACTAGTAAAACACTGTTTTATAAGTTATAAGAGATCGTAAGCAGTTTTCGACTGAAACATGCTACTGTGTAAAACTTATGTATCTACTTTATTAACAGTTGAAGTGTCCCTCAAGAATGTAATTTGTAAGTGTATATAACAGATGGTTACTCGTTTAGCACATAAGGATTGAAGGCAGAAGTAAGACCAAGGCCGTGTTACTCTTGGTGTTAGGCCTATTTCTCACGCAGCAATATATCGCGCCAATTTGCTTATTTTATTCTTTCAGAATTTGTCGTACCGTATTACAACAGCGTTACGTGAGAATGGCCTCGTTTAAAAGAATGCTTACTCTTTAAAGAAGAACAAACTGTGACGAGGTTTATATAAGTAGGACTTAATATTATTCTACATTTTTCAATTTCGCAATTTTTAAGGCATGAAACTTTCGCGCCGCGGTCTAGTCTTTTTTGGCGTTATTATTTGTTTAGACTAGACCTTGCTGTATACAAGGCGTTCCGAAATTAGCCTGCCGTGTTTTACCTACATATCCTTCGGCGGAAAATAAGTCAAAAGGTGTATATGAGCATAGGCGGAGGAATGCCACCTAAGGCAGATATAGCCCCTTAAGGTACGCCCGTGAGAGTTGTTTTTTTTTTCTAAATATTTCCGAAATGTTCAAGATAAAATCACGTAATCTGAAATACCTATTATATTGTAAACATAGTGATTAAAAAATAATTTATAGAATAGGCAGATATACTAATCTAGAAAACAGAAAACCAGGAATTATCAGAGAAATTCACAAATTTTCTTCCAATTTATTAAAATTATTATTTTATCAGTTGCTATACATATCTATTTTAATTTTTATTGTATACAGAGTGTACCGAATGCATAAACCAAACTTCTATTGGTGATAGAACGTTTCAAAATAAGAAAAAAGTTGTCATAAACTTGTATTGGTTTAGTCTTCGAGATAGAGAATTTCAAGTTGTAATTTATAAAACTGTGGTTTAGAATACGTCCAAACAACAAAATTTCCGATTACTTCACTTTTTATCCTTTATAAGACAATATGGAGAGTAAAATTTTTCCACCAAAACTTGGTAAAAATGTATTATTTTACTTAAGAATAATTTATTTCCTTTTTTTCAATTCATCTCATCATTGACAAAAAACAATTTTAATGTTTCTTCTTTTATGGAGTAATGAGGGCTCTAGTCGTAGTTACTGTTGTCTTCCAAGTCCTAAGTGTATTTCGGATTTCATTCACTTTCGAATGTAATCTACGAAGCCGTCCGTAAAACCGCTACGCGCGGATATCTTAGTGGTTGCGGATGCTCGAGGTGTCTAATCGACCATCCTTATGAAACAGAGGCTGAGCGGAAATCGAAATTGACACCTAGGTTTCGAATAGAAATTATCGCCTAGCTTTCCAATCGAAATTTCACTTAGGTTTTGAATCGAAATTTTGTCACCTAAGTTTTGAATCAAGATTATCAACCAACTTTCGAATCCAATTGCCGAAACTGTATACATAGCCGCAAACTACTCCAAACGTTCCAAGTCGTATCATACGGTATATAATGCACCCCAGTTTTGAATTTTTCCGCAAAAACGTGTTGGTTTATAGTCAAAGCTTGACATTTTTCATCATTTTATAGTCTCATAATTGACCAGATATAAAAATGAAAAAAGTGTAATATCATTCAGTAAGAATATATTGTATCATTCATTAAAAATTTTCTTATCGTTGTTTCAGTCTGACAATCCCGCGATCAATACGAGCAGCACGCTGCTAAAATCCAAATTATACAGTCAATAGTGAATTAAAAATGAAACAATATTAATTTTGTTATTTGACATATCGACATTATCATCGTTATTATTCCATATAATAATAGATAACATTCGTATTTATAAATACAATTTCAACATCCATTGGTTATCTTTATCTACTCGATTCGATTCATGTGGCTACATATTTGTCTTTTTTATGATTTTTGACATGACGGTTATTCGTTGCTACCTTTTTGTATTTAGTCCCTGGTTTAAAAAAAAGTCTACAGCGGACAAGTCCCGCACATTTTTGTATATTCAATAGTTTAACCGTTCTTATCTCCGCATCATCCGACTTCGATCTAGGCTACGTACATACCTAGCACATACTCTCAGTTTAGCCTTCACAGATCTAAACTGTGCAGACGAGACGGCCGAATCATCGGTTGGTATAGTGTGTAGGACTGCAGTCAATGAAATAGAAGGCATAAAGAAGTTCTAGATTCATTTAATCTCTATCTGTCACATTACAAAGTTACCAAAATATTTTGTATTTTTAACATATTTTCGAATAGAACTGTTGTGTGTTATACAAGGTCTCATTGGTTCCCTTAGCATAAGTGTATTGATTGAGAAATAAGCCAGCTTTCAAAGAAAAAATAATAAGTAAAAAATTAATTTGTAAGTAAACTTACCCATTCTGAAATTTGAATTTCTAGAGTTCGGTCTTGTCACTGCTATACGACAAATGTTCAAAATTGTCACTGTTTTCTTTTTTGAACACTGATCCTCGACGTATACAAGACACGATGCAAGCTTCAAGTAATGCATCTTGTTGACATATAATTTTTGTGACGTTTTCGATTCTAGCCCGCAATTCATCTTTTATGTTCACTTGTGTTTTATACACTAATTTCTCATAGGTACTAATTGCAAGGATTACAGTCAAAGTTTGTTGTCGAAAATGTGGTGGTGCGTCATGTAAAAACTACATATGTATTTTGACGGACATTCAGTGGTATTATGTCTATGTTGGCAAATTATTTGGTAAAAAATGTATTGTGAATTGTTGAAAATGTGTTCTTTGAATCGTATACAGGCTCTTTGCTAGCCATGTATGTGTGTTTCTGAAGATATTTACGCTGTTGCCACTAAAGCACGTTTCCTATTTTTTTTTTTTGTGATAACTACCTATCGAACTATCGCACAATGATCCTGAAGTTATATAGATTGAACACGTATATGAAACAGATAAAACTGATGGCAGTTTAATGTTTTCCGTACAGATATTTATGATATAAATAATTTCATCTACAATTTTTTAAATTTCTTTTTCTATAAGAAACATACGGAACACGCTCATCCTGCGTGTCTTTCATGTCCGTGGGAATGCCCAGTATCCGATCTCGTTGTATGAGATAAACATATCTGCGAGAGGAATGGAATCTCATAAAAAAACATCTGCTTAACCACGCGATGCTTCTACTGTGTTTTGCCGACATTCACCGCATATAATAACGTACATATCAAGTTCATTATTGTCATGTACCAGTTGCCATTTGCCATGTGCATTTTGTAATAATTATTAAACGTTTGTGAAAATTGGACTGACTAAATTTATCGATATTTTGGAACATTGATGTTAAATAGTCACTTTTTTTTCTAGTGCGAAGAGATCAAAGAACAGGCCGACATCATTAAAGCCGGTCTTGTAAATATTTACATTACTCCCTACGACATAATGCAGAAGTCGGACATCATTTTCAGTTGTGTCACGGACCCCCGCTCTGCCAAAGAAGTAAGTACTAGTGTAATATTTTTGTTAGCAATTCTCCTTTTTCATACCATACAAGTCGTTCCAGTTTCGTCACACTAATTTATACATAGATGTGGTCACGAAAGCATAATTATACTATCTCATATCTATGTCACCATGCACAAATCCCTCCTTACCTATCGTCTACTAGACAATTTTTTTTTATAGCGTAATGAGTCATGTTTTTATTTATGTTGGAATAACTTATGTAGATCAATGTGAACAGAAAGAGACATATTTCGTACTTGTTTCTGAAAGCACTTACTAAAAGAAAAAAATTGGCACTAACCGCTTGCTTCACAAAGCAGATAGTAATTAATAATAATTAAATAAATAAAAGCAGGTAAACTGAGACAAAATATAAATATAGGCAGAACAACCTAATACATTTAAGAAAGAAATTAACAAAAAGTCTTTAATAAAAAGAAATTGCCGAAAGCATTGACAATAAAAAAGCAATCAGTACAAGAAACGCTTAAAAATATTGAAAAACTTTTGGTTTACTTGCCTAACATTGTTTAAACAATGGACCAACGGTTTTGCTTCATTTCCAAGGGATGGTATGTCTTCCTACATATACCTCGCCTTGTATAGTTTCTGTGAATACACCGACACACAGGCCCAGAAGGTGGACGAACATCGCGAGCCTTCTCCGCATGGTCACCTATCCAAGTAATAAATAAATAAACTAATAAACCACATCGAAGAGAAAGAAAAAAAATTCCATTTCGGTTTTGTTTGCAGCAATATCTGTAGTGAGGTAATACATTTTTTCCTTATTTTTTATATCCTATCCTCCTGTCAGTGAACCTGTATTTGAATTACCACACTCTGTGAGTGATAAGTGAATATTTTTTAAATGCCTAATGGAAAATATTTAAAAAAAATGATAGTAACATATTTTGTATTGTCCCAAACAAGATTCGCAATATAATGATATCCGCAATTATTACCAGATTTCTAACCTTACGAAACCTAAAGTTTATTAAATAATAGTTCATAATAATTATTAAAAAAAGTCTTAAATTACTGAATTTAAATAAAGTACTAAGTACATAAATGTATTTACTGTTGATACCAATAATTTATACTTGCTGTTATTGTGCGTCAATAAAGCCAGTAGCAAAGGTCAAATAATTTTTATCAAGGTTATATTTAGTAAGTATATATGTATAAGATAATCTTTTGTTAGTTGTGCTTTAAAAATACAACTGCTTCGTATTTTTATTTACTGTACCTTTGATTACTGAACGTTTATTCCCCTGAGAATTTTCTTGGATTTTACAGAGTAACAAACGACCTGTTAACGGTTTCTAATTGCTTAACCGAAATTTGTAAATCATCAAAAACTAACAATGATAGAATTCCGTGGTTTTCACCATTGAATTAAACCAAAAGAGCTTAGTCTTTTTGAAATATAAACTTTCAAATTGTGATGTTTTTTTCATACTAACGTATTGAAAAAATGGATAACAGAACTCATATAATGTAAATGGCTGTAATTTTATAGGAAGAGTTTTAATTACAATGGAAATTGTTGATGTAGTGGCTAAGGTCCATTTAATATTTCTTGAGAGTTGAACGACCTAAATAAGATTAAGAAGAGAATAATATTTTTATTTTTTACATTTTTTAGCAAATAGCACCCACCGCTACAGTAAAACTACAATATAAATAAGGACGTTTTGTTTAGCCTTGTTCTACATACGCATTTATAAAAGCTTGTCTTTCTCTTTCTCGCGTATTTGTATGTTGAAAATAAATATTTTTGTTATTATTACATGTATAAATTAATTAGGACTATTGGACTTTGATTAAAACAAAAATCTGCTAATTTGTACCTTTTGCAAAAAAAAAACAACAGGCGTGCCTTCTCTGTGTAAGGATGAATCCGTCGCACTCAAAGGTCATTCAACTCCTTAGCATTTTTAGATATACTTCCCGAGTATAGTCAAAATCAACTAGTTTCTGTAGTGCATAGTACTCGTAGATAATAATGTTTCCATAAAATAGTTCGGTTACGGTGTTTGTTAAACTTAGCGTTTATGGCTGTTACAGTTTTGATCTTGAATAATAGAAGTCTTCATGCAGTTCGATTCACATTCTAGATCTAGAGTTTCTGCGTTTATTATTAACGTCTAATTAGAATCATTTACCTGTCCAATTAAAACACAAATTACATAAAGTACCGGTCTCGGCTTTAATACGCCTTGAAAAACTGACATTCACGAAGGTGTAAGAGTAAGGTTATCCAGCCATATTACAAAATAACCGCTTTTTTTGTTCCTATAATGAAAACGGATTGGTTCGGGTTTGGTTAGCGACTTTTATCGCATGTTATCACTTTGTAGTTTACAGGCACTTTGATGTCGATCAGCCAATGCTATTATCGCATTGTGTGACCGACAGACGTTTGTGTACAATTTTTTCCCGGTTCATCGTCCCCCTTCTATAATTATTAAGGTTATAGAGTGCCTATTTCGTAAACGGGTATGCAAAATGAAAATATTTTAGCAAAAGGCCAGACCAAAGAGTTAATTTCGTGCTTAAATGGACCCCTTTTATATACAGTATGTTCCGGTGTGCGAGTACACTACAAAATTTTCCAGTGAAATATTACTAATTTTTTTTTAACCCATGCACGCCCGTTAAATAATTACTAGCTTTTTTTCTAATTTAAGTTACGGTATTGTTACGGTTTCGTTAGTTTGTAAATATAAAATTCTAGAAAAATTGCAACGTGTTATCGAAAACCAAAAAAAAACTGACTATTATGTATACAGGGTGAGGCCAAAAAATATGGAAAATGTACGGTTGATATTCTTGTTAGAAAATGTAAAATAAAATGTTTGCTGATCTTTGTGTCTGAGTTAACAAATTGCTCATGGTTATCAATTTCCACTGCTTAAACCAATTGATTTAAAAGAGCTTCCACAAAAAATAATCTAGAGGAATCAAGGCAGGAGATCTCGCAGGCTACAGCACTTGACTATATCGACCTATCCATCTCCCATTAAAAGTGTTGATATCACATACAACTGTATATCAAGTCAAGAGGAAAATCTTCCAGTAATTATGTGACATAATTTTCTAAAAAAATCAAGAGCGCATCAGCATTTAAACGATTAGACAGGACAGGAATCGAAATTAGGTGTTCCTTAAAGAGTCGGTCTTACACATTAATATAGAACTTTTACTGAAGGCCTCTTCATATGAAAGCATGAAGATTTTCTAAAGATCACAATGTTCGTAATGACTGACTCTTGTTTATGCCATACCGAGTAAAATTAGCTTCATCAGAACAAAGCACCTCACATATGAAATTTTAATTTTGTTCAGTAGTTGAAGAAGCTACTGACAAAATGCAAGTCTTGGTTGTAAATTTTGTACTTTTTGTTTATGAAATGGGTGTAAAACTTCTCTGTTTAAGGATCTCCAAACAAAACTATGTGATACATAAACAAGGACAACAATCAGCTTAATAATTATTCCTAGATTTTCAAGCATACGATCTAGCACTTTTCTTCAATTTCAATATAATGATTTCGAGCGGGATCACCACCAGCAATACGAGCATTGCCTATTTCAAACTCTCCAGCTTTTGAAAAGCGACTGAAAACATCCAACAAGATGGTTGTCACCTGTTAGGGAATCTCCTGTTGTAGTACTTACAAGCGTTACAGTCACAAAAGCCATACACAAAATTATTTGCGTATTCCTCTTCAGAAAACTGGGTATTTAGAAAGCAACCAAACCGACAAAGCAACTTTGCTGAACTCAAAAACAATTTTGTTCTCGAAACTCGGATAGTGATAAAAAAATCCATATTTCTTTTTTCAAAAACCTCTCAAACTGACGAAAGTTGGTCACCATTTTCTCTCCCATTTTACCAAATATCTCTATTTCTGACAGTTTTCGAAATAGCAGCTTTGCTATACCTTGTATACATATGTTTGTTAAGAGTGTTCATCAAAAGTAAGTTGTTCATTTCGAATTTCTGCTAGTAACGGTTCGCTGCGGCAATATGCACATAAATATATAAAATGTACGATAAACATCCTTGCATAATAAATTTTCTATAAATAAAACGCCGTTGATTTGATTATTAAGATGGAACGTCTGTAGATGTTTACATTGCCCGAGTTTATTATTATCAGTGCAAAATGTGATATTAAAATTACTCTTTGAGCAGAGTGGAGGGAGTATTAGCTTCAATTTCTGTTTTCGCAAAATGTGAAAGGAATAATGGAGCGATACGTTACTATAAGAAAATAAAGAAAAAATTATATAAGACGTTGAAAGAAAACGCAAGTAAATATGAATTATTTATATGCACAGATCAAACTGTGCATAGACAAAGACGGATTGTTTATTGATTGTCTAGCAACTAATAATAATCTCTCTCTAACGCATTGTGTTTAATATCATTTATCATTTCTCTGTTTAACATTCCGAGATAGACCCGTCAATCTATATAATCCCTTAGTATTTTCATCTTCCATTTAAAAAATCGGTACTTTGTATTATATTTTTTAATGGTGTTTAATATTTGGAACGTTAAATATTTTGGAAATATATCGACAATTTTTATCAGTTTTTTTTTTAAGAAATAAGTAAATATATAATAACTGAGATAAGACTAGTCAAAATGTAATAAAGAATCTGTCGAGGGACGTATTTAAAAATTCAGAACTGTTTCTCTATTCCTAATTTTTTGCGTGCCATGTTCGTCATCCGCACCAAAAAAATATAACGACAATGAGGAGCTCCAGTATGGTTGGCCACCATTAGAGAAAAACAGAAACAGATATCAAAAAACGTTTTTTTGTAAAAGTTGTTGCGAAAAAGAACAATTTCATATAATGTAAAAGTGTTTGCAAAATTAGGAAAAATCACCGTGCTATAAAGAGTGCTTGCGGTTTCCAATGTGCTCTTCCCGTTTTTCTGTAATGGCGGCCATCCATCAGTACCACAACCATTTCATTGAAAAATCGAACACAGAAACCAAAAAAAGTAAAAAAAACTATTTCTTCTACTTGTCTAATCTGTAAAAATCTAAATTTTCTATAGATAGTCCTAGAACATAGTTTTATTAATACCGTAAGTAGTTTTTCAATCTCTTCCTCCCATTTTTCATTTCAGTTCCTTTCAATTACACATTTTTTTTTTATCAAAAATTTACAGTCACACATTAAATATTAAATTAAATTCATAATGACTTCTCTATTACAGAATGTAATTGGAAATTGTGGAGTGGCAGGCAGAGAAGGAGATATCCTGGATGGCAAGGGGTACGTCGAAATGACAGGCATAGATCCCCAGACATCCAAAGACATATGCGAGATCATAAAGAGCAAAGGGGGACGTTACCTAGAGGCTCAAATTCAGGGCAGCAAAATCGAAGCAGATGAAGGCAGTCTCGTTATTTTGACAGCAGGAGACAAATCTCTATTCATCGACTGCCAATCGTGCTTCAAGGCAATGGGGAAAACAGCGTTTTTCCTAGGAGACACAGGCTATGCCACCAAAACAAACCTGATATTGCAATTAATGAAAGGCATAGCTTTAGTTGGTCTGGCGGAAGGCCTAGCTTTGGCAGACCGCTGTGGTATCTCTTCGAAAGACGTTTTGAACATATTCAAGTTGACCAATTTGAACTGCGACTACCTGACAAACAAAGCCGATCTTATTGTAAAGAAAGATTTTAAGCACGTAGAGCAAGCTATAGAACATATGCAGAAAGACATGAAGCTGACGCTTGATCTCTCCGATCAGCTTAAACAGCCACTGTTGATGACTTCGACAGCCAATGAAGTGTACAAACATGCAAGACGGTTAGGTTACGATGGGCACGATGCCTCTTGTATATATATGAGGACGAGACATTAGGTTGATTGTTGGCAATATGTGCACGATATCATTCTGTGCAATCTGTACGTTTTAATAAAATCAACTTTTGTTTTTAAAACCATTAAATCGTTTTAAGATTCAATTAAGTTTTGACAAATGTGCACTTTTTTTGTTTTACTAAATATAACAATTAATGTTTTATATTTAATTGATAGTTTCATTTTATTCTAGCAATTTTAAAAAAAAGTTTATATAATAAAGAAAGTATTCTGTGCCTACACAAATAAATGTATAGGTAATGTATTTCTATTAAATCAGTTGAAAAGTATGTTTTGTTTTTTTATTTTAAAACGAATGTTAATCAAAATATTTTTTCCAGGACCACTTCTATATGAAAATTGAACTCTATGTTGTATTTGAAATCAATAAAATGACTTCATGTTTCGACTACTTCTTTGTCCATCCTCAGTACTTAATGGCCATTTATAGGTGAATGCTATTAATTTTTTTTTGAAGTTATGGTATAATTTTATATTTATTGTAAAGAAGTGCAATGACAAACAAAAACAATGAGTTTTTCAGTAAATTGTAATAGAAATTTAAGGACCAATTAAATTTAAAGCGAGTGTGTCATCAAATCATTGATATAATTGTCAACTTAAATGGTATATATTTTATGGTTTGCAAGTATTTACTTAGCATTTATTAGTATTATTCTCAGAAAAATTTGTCAGTTTTTTTTTATGCCAGATACGTATGTATATAAAAAATCAAGTATTTGCATGTAGGTACACAACAGCATTGCCAGATTTTTTTTTGGGCAAAGCGGGGTTTTGAAACCTTTTGAATAAAAAAGCGGGATTCTTTCGTCGAAAGCGGGACATACTAAAAAAAAAACGTATAATCAATAGTTTTTAACTGGTTACTTATCCTTTTATTTGAGTTTCAAATTAAGTTTACATGACGATAGCCAAAATTGCCATAGAAAATTTATATTAATGAAAGTATGTTATAGTTACGATCTCAATTGGAACCGCATAAAAACATTCAACTCGTGAATTCCACGGAATCCATAGACGTTCAGAAAAATGTAGCCCTGCCTCGTCTACATATACTATATTCCGAGTTATATTACCATACAATTGTCAAGTTTTTTTTGATCAGGATAACCGCTTAATTTATCTTGAATCATGTTTAAAGTAGGAACTTCATTTTCTTTATACATATTATAAATTGTGCGCCGCTGGTAAAATTGTCAATTTTCTTTAATTTTGTATTTTACCGTTTCCTCTTTGTACCGTGATCAATCCTTTAATTACAGGATAAATGGTCTTTTTTGATATCTTAGTTAATTTGTTAATCCATTTCCTAACTTTTTTATCACATTGTTCACTATTTTCAATTTTCAAACATTCATATATATTTAATATAATACGTTGACTCTTTACGTGTAAATCTTGTTTTTAAACTCTGAGTTTGTTTCGTTACTTTTGACAAAAACCGGTTCCACTATTTGGGGATATTCCTGTTATTTCGTGACCCTCCGCTTTAAAGAGTCTCTAGAGAGCCACGCTAAATTACTAGATAATTACATATAACATTTATTTTAATAACTATTACCCTTTACTGGTTACGATATGAACAAATAATAACATCAACTAATAAATAGTAATACGTATTATACCAACAACATACCCCGCCAAGCAATGCTCTGTACTGCACTGGCAAAGCGGCAAAGCGAAGTGAACCCGTGTACCACAAAAAAATTATTTACGATCTAGTGGACCAATACAGGTTTGCTTTGATGACAACGCGCCGCCGTCAATTCTACATCAGGCGGACTAGTTTACCAATACCGGACTCGCGGAATTGCTATTCGAGTATAAATTCACATCGTGGTCAAAGCATAGGAAGAAATTTCAGTGCATACGGTCCTATGCTATAAGTTTTACAAGTTCCAATTGACATCGTAACTACTATACTAATCGTGACGCCGGCACCGTCGAGTAATCACCGAAAAGCGGGACTAAGCCTGTCCTGCGCGGCACACTTAATTTTGGGCTAAAAATCGGGACGTCTGGCAACGCTGGTATGCAAGTATGGACATTAAAAAAAATTAATGCTTAGGTAGAGGAATTAATGATAATTGGAATTATGAAACTACCAGTTTACTATAAAATAATGTTTTTTTGTCAATACTTGTATTATTATCTTAAGTAAATTTTAGATATTTGCAAACTAAATTTTGATGCGTATTATTTACAGTTCATTTAACCATTCTTTACTATGAAATAATTAGGTACAAAATTATTTGGCAATCTAGGAATGCAAGGTTATATTCTTCCTGAAACTATTAAGAGAAAATCTTCGTATTTTTCTGTTATAGTTCAACAATGCAAATAAGCAACCATGTGTATTAAAAAAGTGACTAGGTATTTACATGAGGATCACAGATGTGTGAGAAGATGAAAACTCAGAACATAAATGGTTAATATAATATTTCCGTTTGACTGATCACTCTCAATTTGCTTAATTATAAATATAAAATATTTGCTTTACCAATTATTTAAAAAATGTCTGAAACTAGTATTTTAAGTGGTAGGAAAAAATAGGCCGGTTACTTTCCTTTTTAATGGTTCATTGACCAGAGAACAACTTTATAACTGCAAATACTGGATTATTGGTATTAGGAGTAAGGAGGTATTGTAAATTAGCTGCAAGTGTATCAGCATAAACGAGGTGTTTTGTTAATGATGTACTGATGCAATGAAAAGAGATTCTTTCCTTATTTTTAGTTTGCTCATCACAGGCTGAGTGAGAAAATTATTAGGTACTCAAAATATTTGTTTATAAAACGGGGGTATATAATTTCTACATCTCACAATATGGAACAACACTTTAATTGACATCAAAAATAGTAGGTAGCATTTAAAATATTTGAAAAATAAAAATGTATTCTCTTAAAAAAATTGGTAATTATGGTATATGTATTTATATAACTTAACTCTAACTTAGACCTGATACTGATCAACGAAAAATATAATTATTATTATAATAACTTTACCAATTTTTTTATTATATATTATAATATTCCTAAATAGATAGTGTCTTTGTGTGCAAAAAAATCCAACATAGTCGTGAAGACGTAATAAAAACAAAACGTCGACAAAGTAGTTTTTTTATTATAGTCGTATGTACAGTCTTTCAGTTCTCAATTTAACAACCGAGAGATTGGGTACCAGGTTCGGTCGTTGACACAGCAACTCGGCATTACAATGTTTGAAAAACTTATTCCCATGTTTATTTAGCCATACCTATACAGGGTGTCCCATTTTTATTCTGAAAAAATTCAGGAAAAGGTAGATCCGATAAAATTAAAGGGACTTTGTTATATAAACTTATTTCGAAATCTGAACCCTTTCCGAAATACAGGGTGTTGAAGTTGAATTTATTTTTTCATCTTTTGTTAATATCTCTTGGAGTTATAAACCAATTGTTCTCAAATTTTGTGTGGTGAATGCCACAGTGTACTAATACTAATACACAAAATCTCAGCTCGACAGAAAAAGCCAGTGGCGTGCATTCCGCACTTGCCGATACCTTTTATAAAAAGTATGTGTTACGTCACTGACTGATCTTTAAAATAATAAATAATTTCAATTGTCCGTGCATTGTTCTGCCAAAAAGTATTGTTACGTTTTCTCCATAATAGGCACCGTTACGGAGTAAACCGACATTTTATACAATCATCCCTGATCTTAATTTTAGCAGAACTGTTTTAATCAACAACTGAAACGCTCAGGTTGTTTTAATTTGGCTTCAGTATTCCTTATCTAAAAAATGTTAAAGCACATTCCTGGTTAATTTAATAATATTAAATGTTCAAATTGCAAGCCACTGGCTGCAATACACTTTGTTCACTCGTAGTGACAGAAAATTAAAAATCAGAGTTGCTTTGCAAACAGTTTTGGTTGTCATAATAAACTTGACATGATCACTCTTTGTTGAGAAACGAAAACTTTTTACATTAATTACTCGGATTTAGCTTTTTATAAAATACCATTAAGTGCTTTAATAATGCCATATAAATTTTCAAATGCTGAATATGCTGATATTGTGTTCTGTTACGGATTGTGTAATGGTAACGCATTGGAGGCATCTCGAGAATACAGACGAAGGTTTCCTGATAGACGACATCCAAATTCTCAATTATTTACTGATGCATTTCAAAGACTCCATGAAATTGGTAATGTACGAACATTAGAACATTAGAGCACAGAAATCAAAGAATAGATTTGAGAATATTTGAACAATATTTAAATATTCGTTGATACATTAATGATACACTTTTTGTTTAGTTTATTAAACGTTAATGTGCATAAATTTTATAATTAATTATTGTTATTAAATCACTGAAAGAATTTTAAATGTTTTAATTTTTTCCAACTTAAAAAAAAACATCATTGTTAGTAATCACAGATAGTATTCAATTAGCCAGGAGTGCGCTTCAGCATTTCTTAGATAAGGAATAGTGATCGAGTTCTGCTAAAATTAAGATCAGGGATGATTTTATAAAATGTCGGTTTACTCTGTAACTGTGCCTATTATGTAGAAAACGTAAAAATGCTTTTTGACAGAACAATGCACGAACAATTGAAATTACTTATTATTTTGAAGATCAGTCAGTGGCGTAACACATACTTTTTATAAAAGGTATCGATAAGTGCGGAATGCACGCCACTGGCTTTTTCTGTCAAGCTGAGGTTTTGTGTATTAGTACTAGTGCACTGTGGTATTCACCACACAAAATTTGAGAACAATTAATTTATAACTCCAAGAGATATTAACAAAAAATAAAAAAATAAATTCAACTTCAACACCCTGTATTTCGGAAAGGGTTCAGATTTCGAAACAAATTTATATAGCAAAGTCCCTTTAATTTTATCGGATCTATCTTTTCCTGAATTTTTTCAGAATAAAACTGGGACACCCTGTATACAGGTCTGGTCGACCTAAACGTGGAGGTGGTAGAAATGTATACGCCCAGTTGAAGAAAGCGCGCGCGGGCAAATGGCGTACACAGACAGCCGAACTGGGCGACTGGCAATAAATCTTAGCTATTGACAAGTGGCTGACAAATTGCCTAGCAGTGCAATGCAGCAATGCGGAATTTGGTCTGATTAAGGTAATATTAATTTATTATAGGCACCTTCTATTAATCATTCATATTACAATTGGGAAAAGGAAAAATAAGAGGGATATTTTGTTTACTAATATTATTACAACATGAAACGGAACGAAGCGAAATTTACCATCAATATAATAAAA